GGACATCCACTCCTAGGACAGATCCTCATTATCAGATCAATCCACTCTAGAGCGGACTCCCCTGGGTGTGTTTCTCCTCTCCTTGTCTAACAAACATATAAGCATATATAATATAAATCATTTTGTATGGATACAGTAAGAAATACCTTAAACTTATAGAATTGCCCTCCTAGGGCCATCTCAATCTCAGACTACAGTGCTCAGGCCAGATAGTCTTTCCTATCCCTATCAGGGTCCTACTCTCGTCGTTACTTTTGGATCATGACAGCATTTGTCTATGATCAAGCTCTTAACTTATAGTTAAGAATCGTGGCACTTTGTCCTGGCCCATTTCGATGCCAGGGTAGCTCACCGCTTGCCCTGGGTCCATTCAGTCCCTCGTCGGGACCCTGCTTTGGGGTGTTAGGAACCAAGGGCAACTGAGGCTTAAGTCGAGAAAGCAGATGCCCGGGAGTGAATAATATTCAAAGCCAATTAAATCCTAAAGTTACAAAAGCATAATATTAACTGTCTTTCTGTATCTATACAAAAAGGACATTGCATTAAAGTAAACTATTCAAAAGAGGAGAGGAGAAGGGCAATATTTCACTCATACATATAAAATTTAGATTTCTGAGGAATCTAACCTTAACAGAGTCTGATTGGGGGGAAAGCTGATTAACTGATTGGGGAGGAAAGCATAGAGAAGTGGTTACAGATAAACCAAGGAATGAGAGTGATTCGGGAGCACTGTGATGGGTGTAACCTGATAAACCTAACTTCCTTGTGGAGAAAGGGAGAAAGGACAAAGCAATGTCATCCTACAGAAATGGAGATAAAATATTCTTGAACACACTGTGGCTCAGTCTTTATACTTTGTTATTTTTTATTTGTATGTTTTGGAGCCACACCTGGCAGTGCTTTGAGGAGGTTACTCCTGGTTCTGTGCTCAGAGTACCGTGCTGTCCCAGGTATGGAGCTCTGGTCTCCCACATATGGGGCATGCATGGCAGCCTTTTGAGTTCTTGAGCACCCATGTTTTGCTCATCTTTTTGTTTGTAGGATTGTGCATCCTTGTGGAAGCTGCTGGCTTTATAAGGAAAAAAAACATGCTCTAAACTTTTACTCCTGTGATGAGAAGGATTTATGCACTTGGCAGTTACGTATGAAATCACTGTTTCCCTTCTCCTACACATTGGCGATCCAGTGGAGATCAAGGCAGAAGTCCTCACTCTCTCAGAATGAAGGGGCTCCAGGGTTGTTTTCTGCTCCTCCAGTCTCAGCAGAAGGGACAACCAGGACAATCAGTGTCAACCAGGAAGTGTCATGTGGCCAGTGATGAAGTAGACAGAGTAAAAATAGCCTAATTGTTATAAAATTAGAATAAAACTATTTTTATCATCCATACTCCTAAAGTGGTCTGTAAAATTGCTAGTTGTGTTGATTATTAATCTTCATATATCAAAGTCTGACTTCCCCACAAAGAAAATTGTGTATGTAATAAAAATACATAATATGAAATTTCTTCATTTCCTCATTCCCAGGATGATTCCAAAAGTCTGGGTTTTTCTATGCTTCCTGGAATAGTTACATGCCATTTGTATCTTTAAAGCCTTTACTTTAGTACAATTATGGTTTGATTAAAAATTTTTCATGGATTCTTAAAGAAAAAAATGAGTTGAGCTAGATATTTCAGATGGGCCTGAATTTGTGGAGACACAGTTCCATTTGATGAAAGTGCATCATGTTTGAGCAGGAAGGAGAGGAAATTAATGCACATGCTCTGGTCTCAAGAATACAGTCCATTCAGCTCAGAAGCTAATTTGTGCTGCTGCATTTTCAGTACAGATGGGTCATTCCATCTCCCACTATCCAGGGAAGCAGGCACTATTTCACCAGCAGAAAGAATGAGGAAAATGAGGTACGTAAAAACTTAGTTTTCATGACCTAATCAATATTTGAAAGCTGTAGGGGACATTCTTTCCTAAGAATTGTTTACATTGTGATGAAACAAATTTAAAAAGTACAGACACTTAAATGTACTAAATATTATGCCTTCTATGGTTATATGGATAAGGAACAATTAAAAAACATTTCTCTAAAAATAGAAAAGCTAACTTTGCAAAAGCGTGTCCTTTACAACTAGATGGAATAAAATATCTCTTTCACTGCTATAGTACTTTGAGCTGAAGTCTCTCTAGAAATGGTTTTTCCTAGGTTCTACTTGTAATTAATTTTCAATTCTACAATACCTATTTTAAAATTTAAAATTCTCAGAGAGGCACCCTATCAACATTTAGTACCTTTATGGTAAGGTTTAAATTTTTTGTTTCTTAAAGTTATTTATACTGCATTTGAAAGTCAAGGATTAAATCTTAGTGGCATAATAACTTATGTGGGAGCATTTATTCTTTACTGCATTTGGGGAAGGAAAGGAGAGGTTGCAAAGCATGCGTTTTGTTCTGTCAACATGCAAGCTGCTTGTCCTTTCTCTTCCAACCATGCAAGGAGGTCTGCCTTCCTGCATGCAATGTTTATCTCTGTAAGCAAGCTCAGATGGCTTCCATAAATATTCTATGTCTTGTCTGGTGACAGTGCTAAAGTGATGATGATAACACAGATCTTTTTTTTTAAATAAAACTATGTAAATTTATGTCACTGCATATGATTAATATCTGTGGTAATAGAATAAGACAGGCAATGCTTTAAAGCTGAAGAACACAATTTCCATGGAAATGTCCTTCTAAAGGATGGAAGCTATAGGCATGACGTTATAGTAGTTTAGAAGGAAATTGGATATATCCTTAGGATTAGTGGCTTATCAAGATAAGGCATTGAAATAAATCATTATTTTAAAATTATGGAATTAAATATAACCAAATCTGACTTATTATAACTCAATGTAAATTTAGATATGTCAATAAGTAAATATTTGAAACCAGGTTAAAATTTAAATCATGATTAAGTTTACCGATTATAATTTGTATTTCTGTAAAATAACTAAACCCACCTACACACATTTACCATTGCAGCCTTGACTTTTTATGGATATTTCAACTAAGTAACAACTAAAAGTGATAAAGCCACTGTCATTATTGCTAGATAAAGGCATACAAAAAATGATGAGACAGAGGTTATCAAAAAATAACAAAATCCAAGGTTCAGTATTCTTTACATGTCTAATTTCAACTGACCCTGGAAATAATCCTGTACAATACGCTGGGCTATTCTTTTTTTTTGTCTTGTCTTGGGGGCCACACGCCATGGTGCTCAGGGCTGGCTCCTGGCTCAACACTCAGGGATCACTCCTGATGGGCTTAGGGGACCCTCTTGCGGTGCTGGGAATCAAGCCAAGGTCAGCCACATGCAAGGTTAGCACCCTATCTGCTTTACTTGTGCTCTGGCCCCACTCATTCAAAATTTTAACAAATACTTATCAAATACCTCCTAGGAGCTAGAACCAGATTCTAATCTGGACCAGCTGCTGTCTAGACTTGAGGAACAACATATGCTGCATTATTTCCCAGTTTCCTTTTATTTTGCTTGTGTTTGACTACGGTCTATATCCCAGATCCTTCTCTTTCTTATTTTATCCCTTTTCCCGGTACAGAACCCTTGCACTGTGGTGTTCTTAGTAACTAGTGTTCCTAGTTAGGAAAAGAGATTCAGGTCCTCTAGGTCTGCTCACATTGGAAGGAAAGATGGTTGGAGTGGGGCAGGGTATCTTCACACTGGAAAATTTGGGACAGACATTGAGGAGAAATGTTCTCAGAGCTTTTTTTTTTAGAGAGGAAATATCTAACCTCAATCATCAATAACACTATTATTTTTTCTCTTTAAGCCCCACCCTATCCTGGCCTTTTCCTATTCTGCAGGAATTGATGCTCTCTGAATTTTTAGTAAGTGATAATAATAATGCTCAAATGACTCAGAGGGTCCAGAGAGATGGTCCTGCGGGTTAGAAACTTGTTTCAGAGAAGCCAACCTGGGTTCAATCTCCAGCATTACATTTCTCTCCCCAGCAGAGTTAGGAGTCAGTTTGAACACTTGCATTGTGGCCCCCCAATTTAAAAATGACTCTGAGATAAAAGTTATGAATCAAAAAAGAAAAAATATCCTTGATGGCATTTTGACCAAAGGAGAAATCTTTTTCCCCCTTCCTATCACACACCAAAGGCCCACAAGTGAATGCTGGATGCCTCTTAGTCCAATGTCTACAGCAGCAGTTATTATTGACTGTCTTATCTTAATTACAATTTTCTCGAGTTCCCAGTGATTTCTCTTAATAACACCTAGCACAAGTCAACCTCTGGTTGTTCCTATGAATAAAACTAATGCTGTCATACTTAGCTGATTTCCTCTCTGGCAGATCTTCACCTGTACCCGACCTGTCTCACTCTCCCAAGACACATTCTCACCCAACTCCTCATCATCCTTGCATTAACTTTGCCCCGTTAGATTCCCCTGACACAGATTTATTGCAGCAAATAGGTAATATGTTTGCATCCAACTTCCCCCTTAGACTTTAATATTTGTGACAGCAAAAAAAGATTCTTTTCTTTTTCGCCATTAGTTTTCGTGGGTAGTTTATAGTGCCTGACTCAAGAATAGAATAGACTCAATAAATATGCGTTGACTTGAATAGATTTGTTACTCTCTCTATTTAAAAAATGTTTCATACCCTATTTACTACTTGTAACTAGATTTATTTTATGTCTATACCATCTGTAGTTGAAAGGTACATATTAGTCTCTATGTGAATAGCACACAGAGATTAGGGAATTGCTCTATGCTCCCTCCCAAATTTGGAGGCTCAGATCTACATAGTGCTTGGTATTCTCAAAAAAGTTCTTAGAGTCCATTAACGAATAAACATATCCTCATTTTAAATCACTGTTGGCCTACCAGTGACGAGAAAGCATCTAATATACTTGAAGATGGCATTAGTTGAAGGGCAGTTCATTTAGCACACTAAAATGCTCTTAATACAATTTGTTGACAATTTTTCTATTTTCTTACAGTCGGGCCACCGACAACAGACTGACTCACCGGCGGCAGACGATTCTCAGGGAGAAGGGCAGAAGGTTGGCCAACCGGGGGCCAGCGTACATGTTTAATGACCACTCCACCAGCCTATCTATTGAAGAGGAGCGCTTTTTAGATGCAGCTGAGTATGGCAACATCCCCGTGGTGAGGAAGATGCTGGAAGAATGCCTCTCACTCAACGTCAACTGTGTGGATTACATGGGCCAGAATGCTCTTCAGTTGGCAGTGGCCAATGAGCATCTGGAAATCACAGAACTTCTGCTAAAGAAAGAAAATCTCTCTCGTGTTGGGGATGCCTTACTTCTAGCTATTAGCAAAGGTTATGTTCGGATCGTGGAAGCAATTCTCAGCCATCCGGCTTTTGCTGAAGGCAAGAGGTTAGCAACAAGCCCCAGCCAGTCTGAGCTCCAACAAGATGATTTTTATGCCTACGATGAAGATGGGACACGCTTCTCCCATGACGTGACACCCATTATTTTAGCTTCTCACTGCCAGGAGTACGAAATTGTGCACACCCTCTTGAGGAAGGGTGCACGAATTGAGCGTCCTCATGATTACTTCTGTAAGTGCAGCGAATGCAACCAGAAACAGAAGCACGACTCCTTTAGCCACTCCAGGTCTAGGATAAATGCCTACAAAGGCCTGGCAAGTCCAGCTTATCTGTCATTGAGTAGCGAAGACCCAGTCATGACAGCTTTAGAACTTAGCAATGAGCTGGCAGTACTGGCAAATATTGAGAAGGAATTCAAGGTAGGTCTTTAACCATTGGAACTTCACCCTCCATAATCCAAGTCAAGGCCTAGTAACAAGTGTCCACTCTTTGTGTTAACTGCTGTGGACAGTATGTGCTTTTTTTCAGCAGACTCTTTATTATAATATTGTACAGTAAAACTTGTGAACATCACCACTTAATGTGATCTAATAAACACTGCACATTTATTATATTCAATCCTTATCACAATATTGAAATAGCACATTCTTTCCATACAAAGGTACAGAAAGGTTAAATAAGTAAATGGCAGGGCCCAGATTAGAATCCAGGTAACTGCATCTCCAAATCCAAGTTATTTCTGCTCTAAGCATTATTTCTCTATTGTTAATTCTAAACTCCCCCTGCAATTTACCTAACCTATTCTATATGCTCTTCACTTGATCCCACTAGTGTTAGTTCTCATGTATTTTTTCCTTTCCTCTGCTGTATGTTGTTCGGATTCTGGTCTGATTGATCAAGTATAGGTTTTGCAATGACAAGTATTTGTTTACAAGAGACATTTGTTGCAAACAATATTTGTTGTAGCATTCCATAGTTGATTCCATGCAGATGTGAGAATCAGGCCATGGGAGATAAATCTAACAATGAGAGGTCAGAGACACAGAACCAACCATGGGCGTGAAGAGCTAGCTGCAGGTCGCTGAGGTGAATGGGAAGACAGAATGTGTACGCATATACACACTAAGAATATTCTATCATAGCTGTGATGAGGGAATTGAACAAACATGGCAAAAATGTGCAAAACCAGTTATCAGGTCAACAAATGTAAGGTATATGATGTATAACATGATGACTAGAGTTAACATCACTGTGTATTTCAAGTTGATAGTAAATCCTAGAAGTTATCATCTCAAGGGGGAGTAGACCTTCCTTCTTTGTTTTATATTCATGTGATATGATACATGTTAAGTAACTAGCTGTATCATTTCATAATACATGTGAGTCAAGTTCTCATATCATATAATCTTCTACAAAGCTCTATGTCAATTACAAGTGAATAAGACTGAAAGGAAAAAAATGGGATGGGAAAAACTTTTTAAATGCAAACCAAAAGTGATATTTGGTGTTTGCCAAAAATTCTCTGTGTTGGTAGCATGACACTTCAAAAACCTTAAATTTAAACTTGAGCTATATATATATTACTGGCAAGAAGCACTAAATAAATTAAAAAACAAACACACCGCCCCCTCTCCCCCGAACTCGAAATATTTGATACCGAAAACAAAGTCACATATTCAGGCTTCTTGCCTTAACTCAAGCCTCAGACCTGATAAAGAAGCATAATCTTTAAGACAAGAAATCAATACCAGGTTTTGTTGGCAAACGCATTTACTCAAATTTCTAGTTTCTTACTTTAGTAGCCTGCTATGTACCTATGACTTAGGTCTCCAAACCCTTTTTATGACCCTGTTTTTATTTTAGGTCATCTATGGTAATGAACTCAACCCACCCTCCTCCAAGGGGCCCCGGTGAGGACAGCCAGGTGCAGAGGCAGGAGACTCTGTGCTATTCTCTTCCAGGAGCTGGGTTTTATAGTCTCTGGGTCTTGGCCGTTGATGGAATTACATGGCTCCGGAAGTAGTTGGTGGGTTTAATGCCTACATACTGGAAGATGGGGGATCTGGGTGGAGGAGGCCCAGTCCCAATCCAAGCAGGCTTGGAGATCTATGCCCCGGGTCCCGCACACCTGGGTTCCTCTGCCGGTTCCTTCATGCATGAGGCTCGTCTGAACGTGTGGCGAGTGATCTTAAGCATGGCTGTGGCTGAACCGGAGGTCTTCAGCTGCCGGGGCTCTGCTCGGGGTGGGGAGGGAAACCCAACTCACCCTCCTTCAAGGGGCCCCAGTGAGGACAGCCAGGCACAGAGGCAGGAGACTCTGCATTGTTCTCTTCCAGGAGCTGGGTTTTATAGTCTCTGGGTCTTGGCCGTTGATGGGATTACAAGGTGCCGGAAGCAGTTGGTGGGTGTAACACCTACATACTGGAAGATGGGCAATCTGCAGAGCCAAGACCCAGAGACTATAAAACCCAGCTCCCGGAAGTGCATGGCTGCAAATTCAGCCGCACTATATCTTATTATCTAGTTCTTACTCTGGAGAGAACCTGGCAGGCTACCAAAAGTATCCTGCCCACATGGGAGAGTCTGGCAAACTCCCCGTGGTGTATTCAATATGCCAAAAACCAGTAACAATGATGGGTCTCATTCTCCTGACCCTGAAAGAGCCTCAAATGTGGCACTTTCTAAAATCTCAGGGCTAGGATGAAGGAGACGTTACTGGTACCTGCTTGAAAAAATTGATGAACAAGAGGATGACAGTGATTCAGTGATGGTAATGGAAAATGCTCTTTTTAATTGTCCGATAGTCACTAATTTTATACACCAGGATTTTCCTCAGTTCTGCCATTATGAATAAGTAGCTTTCATGGGGCTTTTTCCAGATCCTTGGTGTCTTTCTGGGAGGGGGGGGGTCTGTTCCAGGGTTAGCACATGACCCTCCAGGTGCCTTTCCTTTGACTCTGAGGAAGGGGAAGGTGTAGATGACCTGCCATGACCCTGCCATGTCTGTTTGGAAACCATTGCAATATTCTGATGTCTAAATGTTCAAAAAAGCCTGGCATTGTTTGAAAGAGAAACATCTTTTAAGAAACTCCAGTGAAAAATATATTTTCTTAGCAGGAAGGAAGTGTGACTATTGTCAGGCATGAGTGTCACTTAGAAGCTAAAGTAGCCTGCAATGACAGAATCATTGCAACAGAAGTACAGGGCTGGAATTCAAACCAAAGTGTAAAAGAAAACGTACCACGGTGATCTTTGTAATTTTGTAATTAAAGTTAGCATATAAATCTACGTGATTTATATGCTAACTTTGTGACATGTCAACATCTTCATTTCCTATAACAAGGAGAAATGAGCAGAAATCTAGAAAATTAAATAGCCTTTCCAAGATGACAACGTTTTTAAGCAGTAGAGCAAGCCTTGTATCTGGGCATGCCTTTCACCCTGCCATTTCCTCTCTAACAACAACAGTTTTTATTAACCTACCACTTGCCACATAATTTTCTGGGTTGTGAGGACTCAAAGATGAGTAAGAGATAATGTATATTCTGGAGGACATTGGAGTTTTTTCAAAAGAGGCAGATACACAGCCAAATAGATGCAGTAAAAAATGGCTAGGTGCATGTGTTCTTGCCTTTGAATTTCCTATTAGAGAAAGAGTTTGTTTGAAATAGATGGGCAGAAAATATCTCATTCTAGGAGAAGTGTTAAATCTCTGACAAGCTGAAAGTCAGGAAAGAAAGTTAAGTGTCACAATTTGCCTCATGGGCTGCCGAGTGCCCCTGAAGTTGCTGATTCCCTTAATCACTGCTCCTCACACTATGCAAAAGGAACAATAGAAACTGGTTATCAAACACTAAACTGATTTACATAAATAGCCACTACTGATGAAAACCAACATCAGAAATGTAAGTCACACCTGACATGCACTGTAGCACTGTCTTCCCGTTGTTCATCGATTTGCTCGAGCAGGCACCAGTAATGTCTCCATTGTGAGACTTCTTGTTACTGTTTTTGGCATATCGAATATGCCACGAGGAGCTTGCCAGGCTCTGCCATGTAGGTGGGATATTCTGGATAGCTTGCCTGGGCTCTCTGAGAGGGATGGAGGGCTCGAACCTGGGTCGGTCACTTGCAAGACAAATGCCTTACCCACTGTGTTATCGCTCCAGCCAGTTGGGCTGGGGCATCTGACATATCTAGGAAAAGTATTTTCTTCAATTACCATTTGAAATATCTCTTTTCTTTTTATCTTATCTCTATTAGCATCTCAGTGATACTTGATCTGAGAAGTGTTTAACTTTCATGTCCCTCATAACCCCACACAGCACACATAAATGCTTTATCATTCATATTCGTTGTGACAGAACTCAATGATTAACAAGTTGCTGGTGACAATTACTCTGAAAGCAGGAATACTGTAGAGTTACTAACCAATTGTACATAATTATCACTGTCACTGTCCTCCCATTGTTCATCGATATGCCAGAGCGGGCCCAGTAATGTCTCCATTTTGAGACTTGTTATTGTGTTTGGCATATCAAATACGTCATGGTTAGCTTGCCAGGCTTTGCCGTGCAGGCGAGATATTCTGGGTAGCTTGCTAGGCTCTCCAAGAGGGGCGGAGGAATTGAACCCGAGTCGGTCGGGTCGGCCGCATGCAAGGCAAACACCCTACTGCTGTGTTATCACTCCAGCCCATACATAATTATATTATTTATAAAATATTTTTATATGATTATTTTTATAAATAATTATAAAATCATTTATAAAAATAATATTCTATATTTACTCCTCAAAGACATAACTAATTCTTTAAACCCCCATTTAGTAAAACTGTAGAATAACTGTTACATAAAGCATATGGTCAAAGAATGCATGAATGAATAATTGTTTTATTTTCAATGATGCCCAGGAATTCCACATGACCTTAAAGTTTCTAGCTTCATATTTGTTACATATGCTAATAATAAAATCATATAATTTGGTGTTGAGGAACTGAAAAATATTTGGTATTATATATGAAATACTGAAAACAACAGTAATCACCACTGACCCAACAATAACTGGACCAGGAAGCTGGTGTTTTTTACCAGGACAATCTCCACAGCAACTCTTAGAATGGGGCCTCTATCAGTCTCATTTTACACAGGAGGATGTTGAGGGTTTCCACAATTAAGTCATTTGCTCGAAGTCAAACAAATAGCCACTGGCTACTCCTATCAACCAGATGGACCCTTCTTCAAAGCCCCCAGGGCTTGCCAGTTATTTCAGTAGCACTGTCCTCCCATTGTATCGATTTGCTCAAGGGGGCCCAGTAATGTCTCCATTGTGAGACTTGTTGTTACTGTATTTGGCATATTGAATACTTCCTGGGCGGCACGGGTATCTTGCCAGACTTTGCCATGCGGGTGGAATACTCAACGGTAGCTTGCTGGGCTCTCAGAGAGGGGCGGAGGAATTGAACCCAAGTCGGCTGAGTTGGCTGCATGCAAGGCAAATGCCCTACCCGCTGTGCTATCACTCCAGCAATTTCTATGAATCAAATGTCATTTCTTGCATAGAAAGAAGAGCCAGATAATCGATGAACAACGGGAGGACAGTGACAGTGACAGTGACAGGATAAAATAGAGAGAACCCTTTGAGAAGGTAATTTTTACGTGGGCACTTTAATTATTATCTCTAAACTCTGCTCTGTTAGCCCACTGTCAGCTATTTTCAATAGAAAGGTTAATAAGTGAGCACCACTTCTCATTTATTAATATATTCTGTGGAGATGACCTCGAGATATTGAACCAAACTGCCAGCTTCCCTTTCTTTCCTTTGGAGACCCAGAGTCACGACAGCACCCTCTGCCACATCCGTCCACACTTCACTGAAGTGAGGCTCAAAGGCTCCTACTACCCATCTGAGAGAAATTCAAGTAGGGAAATATTTATAGGGAGATTCTCAAGGTGGGAATAAGTGTGTATTTCTAAAAACAAAAATCTTATTTTAAAAATGTTTGTTAGAGAATGTCTGAAGAATGAGTAATGAGTTGGAAACCAATTTCCAGTAGCACCAAGATCCTGCACATTAGTCCCCACTGGGGACATCAGGACCTTTATAAATATGCAACCTCACTTAAATCTTTTCTGGAATTCTAGAGATTTTGACTATTACAGTTTTGTCATTGAAAGAACTGATGATATATCTAGACACAAGCTTGAGAGGTGAGGTGCATTGAATATTGTGAAAACTCCATGGTATTTCACATGCCAAGGAGTGGTTTGTTTCTGATTATATTTTTAAATGGGCACTGGTGGAGGGATGGGTATTTGATCATTGTATAATTGAAATCCAAGCACAAAAATTTGTAAGTCTACAACTGTACATCATGGTGTTTCACTAATAAAAATTAAAAAATAAATTAATTAAAAAAGTAAAAATATTATTTCCAGAAAAAAAAGTTTTAGCCAGATATTTATAAAAGTTCAGAATCCTGCTAAGTATGCATCAACTCTTTAAACATTGATTTAACCTAACTCAACTTGGTTTTTTTACATGTAAAATTAGGCTAACATGGTCAGACAGCTCAATGGACTAAGTACATGCTTTTCATGTGGAAAGGCCAGGGTTCAGTCTCGGCCACTGCAGGGTGCCCTGAACACAGAGCCAGGAGGAGTTTCTGATCAACTTTGGGCATATTCCTAGAACAAAAGAGAAATAGAGAGAAATGCCCCTACTCTAGAGAGTGGTTTGAACTTATCTAAATCACACGAAGAGCTGAATTTGACTGTAGCTGTATCTAACTTTAAAGTTCCTAACCAACATATATGTGTTCATACCCCAGAGTTTGTTCAGATAGGGGCTGGAAATGTGGTTTAAGTGACAGAGCACATACCTTGCATGTGTGAGTTTCTGGGTCTTGGTCTCCAGCATCTAGTAGTCCTTGGGCACTGCTGGATGTAGCAACAATAGACAAACAAACAATAAATGTTTGTTCCCATGATCCTAGTTGACTGCTTCATGAATGGAGTGACAATGTCTGCTTGCAAGTCTGCTTCTACTATTTTGCCAGATAGCTTATTTGAATCATTCTCAGTCAAGAAAGAATTTATCATTTTGTTCTAAAATAATCTACCTGGATCTGCCATTAGTGAAATAATTTAGAAGTTATTGAGGTCTTCTGAAAGATCACTTGGCATGACTTACAAAGGGGAGTCCAAGTACGAATTTCACACATACCCAGCACGAGGCTATTTGCAATACACACCTCCTCCAGAATTACTTTAGTAACTGGCCAGAGCAATTCATCTTTCTCCATCTCTTCTTCACTTGAGGCTCCTCAGTGATCTTTTCATTCTACACCACGCTGGTAGCTTCAAGATGGAGACAGCTTCCCCTAAATTTGCAAAGCTGAATTTTAGAATAAAGTCTGCCATGGCAGCTATGGCAAAATGTGAAATGGTTTAACCTGCTTGTGTCCTAGTTCTTCAGAGATCAATGCAGGAACTCATTTTACAAATAACCAAAGAGGCAAATTCTTAAAGGCAAAGAATTTGGGTCAAATTGATTCTGACACTTACGGCTGCATGATCTTTGACACGTTATGTAACCGAGTTTAGCAAGCGTACCATATGGATTAAATGAGATCAAACAATCCATGTGTAATAGGTCTTCATGACACTGGGTTACAAATGACTTATCTCAATATAGGAGAGTTAAACAAATATTTGAAAGATCTAGATGAAGATATACGTGCATGCGGCATATAAACTTGGCATGAACTGTTGTGTCTGAATTGATCTGTAGTATCTAAATCTTTCCAATAGAATTAGGTTGCCAGCAAAAAATCACAACGAAAACATTTTCATTAAAGCTCCTTTTAGCCAAAGAATCTCCGCTAACAGCTTTTACGCTATTGTCCTTTGACTCTGTGACATTGAACATAAAGTTCCTCAGTAAACATTTACTAAACAGATAAATAATTGTAGCTTTCCTATGAAAACTCAGAAAATATCCCATCTCTCAAGTTAACCAAAATCATTTACAAGATTTATCAATGCACATTTTGTTGATGAAATTATGAACACAGAAGATGGGATGTTTTAAAGGAGGGCAAAGCTGCTTACTTTCCATTTCTTCAGAATCAGTCAGAATTTGGCAGAGTATACTGCCTCCTGGTCATTTTGATTATGCACTAGGAAAATTTCCTTTTTAAGGATATCAAGAAAATCTTTTTGAGCTAAGATATTTCAGAGAACATTCAGCATCAATTAAGATGGTAAAAGAATGGTAAGCCACCCCTTCCTGCCCCAAGGAAACTCTGCTTTTCCCCTCTACCCAATGAAGTCACTGAACAGTTCTGTTGTATGACACAGTAAAACATGCCACTTTCACGTCACTGCTTTTTTGTCTTGCTTTATCTTTTCTAGAATGACTACAAAAAACTGTCAATGCAATGCAAAGATTTTGTTGTCGGTCTCCTCGATCTGTGCAGAAATACTGAAGAAGTAGAAGCCATCCTGAATGGGGATGTGGAAACGTGTCCCAGCGGAGCAGATCAGAGCCGGCCAAACCTCAGCCGCTTGAAACTCGCCATTAAATATGAAGTGAAAAAAGTAAGGTCAGGCACAAAGCCCCGTTTATCTCATTGCACTTTTTATTGGTGCTAAATGATCAAGGTTTGATGGAGGCAGCAAATTTTCTAATTAGCAGCTGTACAAGACAGGCTCCCTAATGAGTCTTAGAGGCCTTGTGTGAAGCGGAGCTCAGGCTAAACATCAGGCTTGTATGACATATGTACACACAGCAACACACTGACCACCACTTTGCTCTACTTACTAATCATCTCCAGCTTTATTGTTTTTTGTCATGTGGCAGGAGCATCAGTTTCTAAGACCTGACCCTCAAATCCTTCCGTATTGTATTTAAACCTACAACTATTATAACTTTATTACGTTGCATTATTTCCAGTTTCTCTTCATACAGTTCCTCCCAACCTACATCCTTGACTGGTTCCTTAGGTTATAATGAATACATTAAAAAGAAAAGAAAACAGTTTGGTGGGGGGAGGGCAATGGAGAGAGGAACTGAAAAGAAGTGATAGCATTGTACAGGAGGCAGGAGGCTTGCCTTGCATGGGTTTCATCCCAGCACTAAATAAGGTCCCTTCAGCAGTGCTGGAACTGATCCCTGAGAGGTAAGAATAAGCCCTGAGCATTGTCAGGTGCAGCACCCCCCAAATAAATAAATTAAAAAAAAATTTTATACCTAGGTTATATAATGAAAGTAATATTTGCTAGTGATAAGTTTCCAAAAAGTATTAACATGTACCTCCACTCTTAATACACTTTGAGGGAAAGTAGTTAAAATCTGTATTTCTCTTCACAAATTTTTATGTTGCATATGTTTGCTTGCATATCACTAAATAAACATCCATTTAAGTTTTCTCAAAAGCTGCTTTGTTGTATGTGATATTTGGTCAGGTTAGTAAGTGCTCATTATTTTCTTTAGGCTTCAATTATCACAGATGGTCCAGCAAATATACTAGTTTACTTGCATGAATTTATTTGTAGACAAAACTCCTAGAAACAGAATGAATGTGGCAAGTTTCTACTTTTCAGAACATTTCAGAACATCTGCTAAGTTTTTCTTGAAGACAGGTGCACCTGTTTACACACATGCCAATTATTGTTTCTTCCACAGTAGATAAAAAGGATACAGTTGTATTTTACCATTATGAAAAGATACACATTGTGCATTTTCTATTATCCTCAAGATTAGCCATCCTTAACAATCATTTGTAGTTCCTTCATGTAACCTATCCTATATAAAAACTTTTATTATCATTTACCAATTTTTATTGGGAGTTTTAAATTTTTATATACTAAATAACAATGCTCAGTGTCAAACCTAAATTTTATTTGTAAAATATCGGTATGTGAGAATAAATGTCATAAATGAAAAGAAGTAAAATTTAATTACAAAGTTTTTTTTTCATAGAGAGACTTATGGTGCAGAAATAAAAAAAATATATAAACAGGATAGCATGTGCAGTCAACAAATACACCCAATTCCATATAAATGAGAATTTGGTATAAAACAAGTGTATTAAGGCCAGAGGTAACTTAAAGGGCTGGGGAACATGTTTGCATGCAAGCGGCCTGAGTTTAATCCCCAGCACTCTATGTTTTCCCAAGCACCACTAGAATTACTACGCCATAATTACCCCCAGGTTCACCTCTGGGAAGAGGCTGAAAGAACAAAATACACACACACACACACACACACACACACACACGTAAAACAAGATCATTTTAGATGAATGCAGAAAAGGTGATATACTTTCTTTAAAATGTAATCAGGTATGTGGGCTCACAAAAATTTTATATCACTCCTTCTAAATAGAAAAATTGTACTCTAATAAAAAATCCTTGGGCAAAACATTAATGACTTCTTTTTAAGATGATAAATTTCCAAAACTGCCTATGTTTTGAAAAAATACCATTAGTCATAAAGGAAAGTTTGATAAATTGGAATCTTCACATTCAGATAGTACATATCAGAACTTCCTGCCGTCTTGCTGGATACCTGTCAAGTGGATGCTTTATTATAATCATTCTTTAATTTAAACAATATTTGTATGGAAAAGCACACAACAAAAAATAAACACAAAGGAATGATGTCTGCACCAAGTCTTTCTTTAATCAAGCTGTGAACTATACTCTCTCCTCGCTGCTAGTTTGTGGCTCATCCGAACTGTCAACAGCAGCTTCTGTCCATCTGGTACGAGAACCTGTCCGGGCTGCGGCAGCAGACAATGGCTGTCAAGTTCCTCGTGGTCCTCGCGGTGGCCATCGGGCTACCCTTCCTGGCGCTCGTGTACTGGTTTGCTCCGTGCAGCAAGGTATGTGCAGAAAGCACGGAACTCTGGGATCTCCTACAAGCATGTCAGAGCCGGCCAAGCAAGGAAAATTCTATTTTCCAAATGAAAATTTCAGAGGCATCAGAATTGAGTTTAAATAGTCCTACAGGTTTTATTATCCCCCCAATAAGAATTTTTTTTATTACAAAAAATAAAAAGAAATAGGGAGCAGAAAAACTTCACCCGCAATATCACAACTGAATGAAAGTTAATTATTATGTTTATGTTGGTATATTTCCTTTTTAGTTTCTCACTAGGTGTGTCTATGCATCTATCTTGATGTCATAGTAAGCACTGAATAGAAGGATCTTTTAAAAATCCTAAAAAATGGGGAGATAGTACAGAGGTTAAGGTGCTTGCCAACCCATGCAAAGCAACCCATACTTCAATCTCTGGTACTGCTAATAATTCCCAAGTACCTCCAGGAGTGACCCTTGAGCCAGGAGTCCACCCTGAGAAACATCAGGTGTGACCCCAAAATAAAAAATCCTTTACGAATTAATATTTCAACTTTTTCTCCTCATTAAAAATTGAATTGATAGTTGTTTTATTTTTAATTTTACCAATTATGATAAATCTTGCTTTAAATGAATTTTGTAAGTACTAATAATGTATTACTTGATTCAGTGAAGAAAATCTACTTTAGGGACTGAGACAGAAAGCCTGCCTGCTTGTAACAATGATCTTCTTCGGCTTTGGAGAAAATACTGTGTTCAGAGAGACCCAGCCCTTCACTAGTGTGACAGAGCCAGCTTGCAAATGTTGACCTGCTCCCTTAGCAGACACAGTTTTCTGTTCAATATTGTCCAATGGTCTTCTTCTACATAGTTTTGAAAGTACATTGGGGAACTATTTAAGTTTCAACTCAAGAGTCAGGCGGAGATCATTTCAAAGCAATGGGCTAATGTGTCTGCTGCACCATCAATTCATATACTGTGTATAAATGTCACTTCCTGAACCACTTACTGTTTCCTAACATGGACGATATTCACTCAACTATCTGCAATTCTTTGAGTGCAAACACCTAGATCATCACTGCCAACATACAGTCTTCTGACTCTCGAGCACAGAGTCAGTGCACTAGACTTAAGATGCTAAGGGGCTCATGGTAAAATCAGGTGCTGCCTTGTTAGTATTTCACACCTACTCCATTAGGCAGTTCCTTGTGAAAAATGCAAATATTCTGCTCTACCTTTTGTCATGACTATAAATTTTTTATTCTTTTGTCAAAATTACATATTTAAGAACTGAAGTATTATTTAATAGAAAATGTATTCACCTACCAATCAGGAATACCAGCATATGTGATGATAAACATTACCAGATTTTGTAACCACCTAAAGTTTATTTTTATATCACTACTTCTATAAATTACACCATTACCCTAGGATATAATTGGCATGCACAGGTGTTTTTTCTTGTCTATGTGTGCCTGTGTTTTGCAAGGCATATGAAGCAAGTTAAACTTTTCCTTTGGTATGTGTTGTGGCAGATGGGGAAGATAATGCGTGGACCGTTCATGAAGTTTGTAGCACATGCGGCCTCCTTCACCATCTTTCTGGGACTGCTAGTCATGAATGCAGCTGACAGATTCGAAGGCACCAAACTCCTTCCTAATGAAACCAGCTCAGATCATGCAAAACAGCTGTTCAGGATGAAAACATCCTGCTTCTCATGGATGGAGATGCTCATTATATCCTGGGTAATAGGTAAAGACTGGATTTTTCTGTCATCATTTATTTTTGCAGCTTTAGCAATTGGACTGAATGACACCAATGCCCGCACAAGTAAGATAAATGTATACAAGACAGCACATGCTATGATTTTTTGAGTTTATTTATTTATTTTTATTTTTAATTTATTTTTTAATTAGTGAAACACCATGAGGTACAGTTGTAGACTTACAAACTTTTCTGCTTGGGTTTCAGTTATACAATGATCGAGTACCCATCACTCCACCAGTGCCCATTCTCCACCACCAATGACCCCACTAGCCCTCCCCCCACCACCCCATTCCCCCTCATCCCTCCCCACCTCTGTGGCAGGGCATTCCCTTTTGCTCTGTTTTCCCTTTAGGGTGTTGTGATTTTCAATAGAGGCATGAGTGGCCATCGTGTTGGGTCTATAGTCTTCTTTCAGCATGCATCTCGCATCCCGAGTGAATCCTCCAAACGCCCTTTACTTGGTGTTACCTTCTTTATCTGAGCTGCCTTTCCCCCCAGCATCTGCTGCCAGCTTCCAATTCGTGGAGCAGACCTCCTGGTACTTATCTCAACTATTTTTGGGTATGATTTTTTGGGTGATTTTCAACACAAAGAAACCTTGAGTTATTATCTCTGAAATAGTCTTCACTTGTGCAGTGTGATATTTTAATTGAAAAAAAAAACCATGATGAAAATGAACAGTACAATATTAGCAAAATCCTTCCAGTGATGAAAAACCTGTCACTCATATTTATGGAGAGCTATGACTTATATAAGCTTAAAAACAGCTACACTCATTTATGTCAAGATGTAACAGTAACTGAAGTCCCTCACATTTGATGAGCATTTGTACCGAGCACTTTACATATATCAAATCACACCATTTCTCTGTGCCTCACATTTCTAATGTATACCATAATAATAACAGCTACCTGATAGCACTTGTGTGAGATCATTCATTTGCTTTTAGCACTTGTGTGAGATCATTCATTTCCAGATGGTAAATGAAACAGAAGAAATGCAATCTTAACTACTACACCATTTGTGTATAGAATCACTCATAGATGCAGTGTGTCATTAAACATAATGCACATGGGAAATCTATTTCAAGAATATATTTAAAAGCAGGGCTGGGGCGATAGCACAGCGGGTAGGGCATTTGCCTCACAAGCGGCCAACATGGCTGACCCGAGTTTGATTCCTTCACCCCTCTCGGAGAGCCCGGCAAGCTACCGAGAGTATCTCGCCCACATGGCAAAACCTGGCAACTAACATGATGTGTTCGATATGCCAAACACAGTAACAATTGTCACAATGGAGACGTTACTGGGCCCGCTCGAGCAAATTGATGAACAACGGGAGGACAGTGACAGTGATTTAAAAGCAAATACTTTTACCTATTTGTATACAAGTAATTTACAAGCGACACGCAGCAGTGTTCAGGGTTTACTCCTGGCTCTGTGCTCAGGAAACCAGGCACAGCACAGGGGACTGAGCTGAACCCACAACACCATGTGCAAGGCAAATGCCTTCATCCCTACTCTCTCCAGCTCCACGGAAGTAAGCACTTAGTAGGTACCAAATGCCTTTGTTAAATAATGAGGATAACTCAGGGAATGGCACAGCACTTCCTGGAAGTCTGGGAACAGGTTGGCAAGTGCATTAGTAATGGAAGTCTGTGTAAGAAATACATGTAAGGACACATAGGACATGTCCATCTGAGTGAGGGGACAGAGTAGACAACCCTAGACAATGTCTTCAGTCTGAAGTTTTGAAGAGAAGGAACTGTCAAGTGGGCGGAGTGATTCTTGTGGGGAGGAAGTGTGAGTGAGGAGCACTACGAGGTTAGAAGCTTGTGTGCTACGCTCAAGCAGAGGTGCACCTGTTGGTGTGGGGATGAGGGACGGGAGAGCCAGGCATGGTTTCCTGCTGTTGGGATGGAATTCAGTTCCCCTGTAGAAAGAATTCCTCCCTGTGTTTGTGAGATAGAGTGAGGGAGTGAGGAGTGAGTTTGGAGGATGGAAAAACAGCTGGAGGGAGGAGGGGGATGATGATGAAGAAGAGGAGGAGGAGGAAGAGGAGGAGGAAGAGGAGGAGGAGGAGGAGGAGGAGAAGGAGGAGGAGAACTCAGGCACTGGGGGAAAGAGTCTGAGAGCCTCTTAAGAGAATGTGGAGAGTGAGCTTACCTGGAGAGAGCCGTGGGTTCTGCTTGGATTAGTAGGTGCTGAGTACAGTTTGCTAAGAGAGAAAGTATAGAAGGAAAATCATGAATGCCATTTTAAAAATCCTTTTTAAGATCGAAGTAACACTTGTTTATAACATTATATAGATTATAGGTGAAGATTTTTGTATCAACATCTGTGTAAAGCATGTTTTTGTTTTTTGTTGTTAGTTTGGGTTGATGTTGTTTTTTTGTTTGTTTGTTTTATTATTTGTTTTTTTGTTTTTTGGTCTTTTGGGGCCACAACCCAAAGCTGCACCTAAGGCTTACTCCTGGCCCTGCACACAGGGATCACTCCTAGAAAGACCGGGAGGATCATATAGGCAATGCCCGTGTCAAAGTCGGGTTGCCTGTGTGCAAAGCAAATGACCTACCTGCTGTATTATTCTTTAGGGCCTGAAGCGTATTCTTCTGCTACTAGCCCCATGGTAATAAAATCTAGCTAATGATTTTAGTCATGTGGAAGTCCCATTACTTCTGTTCTGATTATGTAAGCTGAGTATATGTTTTGGGTGTTTTAGTTAAAGATTTCTACAAGGGTTAGAAATGTAAAGCTTTGTCTTATATGTATGAGACTTGGTTTTGATCCCTGGCACCTGGCACTACCTCATCACCATCACATACATACATACACACAGACACACACACACACACACACACACACACACACCCTACAATTTGATATTTTTATGTGTAGAACTAAAGAACAAGAATATTGATCGTTTTAAGGCTCTTGATCAATTTACTCAAATTACTTGCAGGCAGTGCACTAACATTGGTGAACTATGGAATTTGTTGGGAATGGGATTTGTGGCTCGCTGAGTGGGTAGGGTAAGATTTTAAAAGATTTGGTGCTAAAACCTTTCAGATTTATTTCATTTTGTTAAACAACTAAAGCTACAGTGAAACTGGTTGACATCTTAAGTCCCTTTCTAATACAGGCATGATATGGGCTGAATGTAAAGAAATTTGGACTCAAGGACCCAAAGAATACTTGTTTGAGTTGTGGAATATGCTTGACTTCGGCATGCTAGCAATCTTTGCAGCATCGTTTATTGCAAGATTCATGGCGTTCTGGCATGCTTCCAGAGCCCAGAGCATCATTGATGCCAACGATACTTTAAAGGACTTAACAAAAGTCACATTGGGAGATAATGTGAAATACTACAATTTAGGTGAGTTTACAATACATTTTATTAACTTGAAAAAGTACTTTGAAAATTTTCCTTGTAAGGGAAAATGTCAATACTCACTACTTAATTCTCATATAACTGCTGGTATGTTTCTAGCTTCTTTAGTATACTGTAGCTAAGATAAATCAGGTTTGTACTTCCAATTTATTTACTCGCTGGAAAACTGATATTCACAGATTTTTTTTTCATTTTAGCTCTGGGATCAGTTTACTATCAAATTCCATTGAAAATGACTATACTGTGTCTTGTGTTAGTTTTTTTTAATCTTTTGTCTATTATAAATAATACACATTTGAGTGACTTTTTCATTTAAGACATAAAAACTCTTTGGAAGTGGGAGAACTGTTGAAGAGTATGTTTGTTCCCTCAGAGAGAGCTCTCAACACTATTTTCCACCCAGGGTTTGCACTAGATGAGAAATAAGATAGAAAGTTAATTTGGAGGACAAATGATCACCTCAAAGACCAACGAGGTTCAGGAAACTTGACAAAGCTCTAAGTCTGTTTGTCCCTGGCTCCATAATTGTGAACCCCATGAACAGGCAGATGCTTCCCCCAATTTACCTACAGTAGAAAGGAGGCCATCCTTTTCAAAAAGGACTATGGCTGCTAATGTCCAGTCAGATGAGGGTCTTCCAGAGAGGATGAGTGGTACATTCTTAAAACAAAGAGGGCAGAGAAGAACTAAGAATACCTAGTACTTCTTTCAACTTGAGCACACAAATCATTCTTTACAACAAAAAAGCGACAAGTGGGATAAAAGTTGGTCCAGTTATTTGCTTAAGACAAATCATTTCATGTAAAAATCTAGAGTGGAAAAAAAGATTCCCTTTGAATATGTGTGGCAGACCTTCTTATAAGAAATGAGTTAACATTCAATTAACATCTCTATGGGTTTACTTATGTCATTACATAAGGATTTCTTTTTATTACTTTTAGTTTGGCTTACTGCTTAAAGTTTCCATATAAAGGTTTGGAAATTAAAACTATTCTTTATATATAATACTTATATTTAAAGCACTAAGAAAGGAAACTACTCCCATTAGTTTCTTGTATCCTTTCCTAATTCTCGATCTCAGAAAATAACCAAATACAAATCTATAATATTTTTCCCTTTCTTACACATTATTTTGTATTTTCCTAAATAGTGGTTCTTTTTTTTTTCTTTTTGGGTCACATTCAGCATGCTCAGAAGTTACTCCTGGCCCTGCACTCAGGAATCACTCCTGGCAGTGCTCAGGGGACCATATGGGATGCAGGGAATCGAACTCGGGTCAGCCGTGTGCAACACAAATTCCCTACCCACTGTGCTATCGCTCCATCCCCTACGTAGTGGTTCTTAACTAAATTTTGATGACCTTATTTTTATGATATTATGATAAAATAAATTTCAGTAATAAATGGAAATTACTTTCAGTCAGCAGAAATCACTTATTAGAAGTGTTCCAAAAGCAAAGACAATATTAAGATTAAATAATATTCTACTATTTATTTAGTGTCAGGGCTGGAGCGATAGCACAGCGGTAGGGCGTTTGCCTTGCGCGCAGCCAACATGGCCGACCCAAGTTCAATTCCTCCGCCCCTCTCGGAGAGCCCGGCAAGCTACCGAGAGTATCTCGCCCGCACTGCAGAGCCTGGTAAGCTACCCGTGATGTATTCGATATGCCAAACACAGTAACGACAAGTCTCACGATGGAGATGTTACTAGGCCCGCTCAAGCAAATTGATGAACAACAGGAGGACCGTGATTTAGTGTCAAGCATTTTCTAAACACATGTACTGAACTCTCACAATAGTGAAAGGGAGACAAGAAGTGACACTATCTAACTTTTTTTCATAGACGGGAAAATGAAATGAAGTAATTTGTTCTAGTTGTTCCGTAATATGTGGGTATATTTGTCAGTAAGAGTATGTACATGTATCTGCTCTATAGTTTGAAGTTATTAACCATTATGCTATCCTCATGAAAACCAGTCAGCAAACTAGGAGAGTCATTTTCTCAGTAAATGTAGAGTTCAAGTATATCTGACACAAGAATATTCTTTAAGATCAGAGACTGGATTGCTAACACACTATTACTTCTTCCTCAGAATGGAAGTTTTCCTGATAAACAAGAACTCACCATAACTTTTGTCTTTTCTTTTTCCTAGCCAGGATAAAGTGGGACCCCTCTGATCCTCAAATTATATCTGAAGGTCTCTATGCAATTGCCGTGGTTTTAAGTTTCTCCAGAATAGCTTATATTTTACCAGCAAATGAAAGCTTTGGACCTCTGCAGATATCACTGGGAAGAACAGTAAAAGATATCTTCAAATTTATGGTCATATTCATCATGGTATTTGTGGCCTTTATGATCGGGATGTTCAATCTCTACTCATACTACATTGGTGCAAAAGAAAATGAAGCTTTCACAACGTATGTGATCTCAATCTTATGAGGACAGAAACTGATGATAAAAGAGATATTAGCTTAACAGTTGTTATAAATATTCATTAAGGTAGTTTTGATAAAGACTTCACCTCCAATTAATCTTTATATTTAGCAAAATGAAATAGTTTTAAAATGAATTGGAAGACTCCCAAAATATTAAACAAAAATAGCCAAAATTTTTAGAGCCAAACATTACAATAAATTTCTCACACCATTTTATTATCTCTGTTTCACAGGAAGGGGAAACTCAAGTGCAAAAAGGTGAATCTGTTGAACGTCGCATAGTTGCTAGTATGTGAAAAACAAAACAAAACAAAACAATAGACTGGGAGGTGGCACAGAGGGCTGGAGAGTATAGTTCCCATGCAGGAACCCTGGGTTTGAACCCTGGCAACATCGGATCCCTTGAGCACTGAGCTTGGAGCAATTCCCAAGAAGGACTGGGGGTGCCCCATCAAAAAAAAGGACAAAAACAGTTATCAGGGTGATCCCATATCTGTGCTCCTAAGTATTGTGCTCTCTGTCTACAGGAGTTCCCTGGGGCATGGCCTATGAGAACAGCTGACATCTAATTCAGTGTGTTGAATCTTATAAAGATCCAAAGTATCAAAAATGATGAGAGTTTTGACTTGATCACTTGATCACTTGATCCCCCGTTATTCATCGATTTACTCGAGTGGGTGCCAGTAACGTCTTCATTTATCCCTGTTGTGTGCTAGCATAGCCCAATGGCATCTGTTCGTTCTAGGAACATGCAGAGTCTCAAACCGATCATTCAGGGTCTTGACGAAGAAGTCTGACCTTCTTGTAGGTGGGTGTCCACGCAATCTTTTGACATTCTGTGGAATCCAGTCAGTAATGGCTCTAGTCCAGCGGTTGTTTGTAAACCTCATTACGTGTCCAGCCCATCTGATTTTTGATGCCTTGGCAAATGAGACAGTGTCCCTGATTCTTGAGCGTTGACGGAGATCAGAACTCCGGATTCTATCTCTCATTTGAGTGAATCGTGATACTCCAAGCATAGCTCTTTCAATTTCTCTTTGAGAGACCCGAATTGCGTTCTCATCCTGTTTTCGTAGGGCCCAGGTCTCTGAGGCATATGTTAATGCAGGAAGAACAGTGGAATCGAAGAGATGTGCTCGTAGCTGGATTTTCTTTGTCCTCTTAGTTATTTCTTCAACACTCTTGAAGGCATTCCAAGCCGCTCTCTTCCTCCTGCACAACTCAGGTGCCAGGTCATTCATCATGTTGATTTCTCGACCTAGGTATATATAACTGTTGCATTCGGAGATGGTGGTTCCGTTGAGAGCGAATGGAGCGTCAGGAACAAGGCTGTTTCTCATAAACATTGTGTTCGTAAGATTCAGCTGTAGTCCGACCTTTCCACATTCACGGTCAAAGTCGTTCAGCATTTGTGCTGCTTGGCTGATGTTTGGTGTTATTAGAACGATGTCATCAGCAAAGCGGAGGTGGTGTAGTTGCTGACCATCTATCTTCACTCCCATGCTTTCCCATTCCAGTCGTCGCATGATGTTCTCGAGGGTGGCACTGAAGAGTTTTGGTGAAATGGTATCACCCTGCCGAACCCCTCTCTTGATATGGATGATTACTTCTTTGTAGAATGGTGAGATCTTGGTAGTGAATCCGCAATAGAGCTCATGAAGGATCCTGATGTATTGAGTTTGTATGCCCTGATTGGCTAGGGCTTCCATGACCGCTTCCGTCTCAACAGAATCAAAGGCCTTCTTTAAATCAATGAACGTTAGACAGAGCGGCATCTTGAACTCCCGAGAAACCTCAATGAGCTTAGTAATCGTGTGGATATGGTCGATGGTACTGAATCCTTTTCGGCATCCGGCTTGTTCACATGGTTGTCCTTCATCTAGTGTTCTGCTAATCCTATTCAGGATGACTCGAGTGAACAGTTTGTAGATGACAGACAATAGGCAGATTGGGCGATAGTTGCCAATGTCATGGATGTCTCCCTTCTTGTACAGTAGTACGGTCCTTCAGGTTTTCCATTGGGATGGAACCTTGCATTCAGACAGGTAGTGTGTGAAGAGCCGAGCCAGTGTATTGATGAGTACTTATGGTAAGTTCTTCAGGTGTTCAGGTCTGATCTTGTCTGGGCCAGGTGCTCTTTGTTTCTTTACCCACGAGATGGCATATTGGATTTCGGAAGGGAGAACATTGGGAACGACATATCCATCATGCAGAATGTAGTATGTGGGCAAGTGGACGTGGCTATTAAAGAGATCTGAGTAGAAGTCATGAATAATCTTCTTCATTGCCCTTCTGGAAGATGTGATAGATCCATCAGGATGTCGGAGGGCAGTCATCTTGGTCTTGTAGTTGGTGAAGGAGGCGGGCGTTACGAATGCTTTTCCCGGCTTCTGCCGAATCTACCAGTACCGCTGCTCTCCTGTCTTTGAGGTCATCCTGATGAAAGTTTTGACATGTGTTAAAAAAACACCATCTATACTTCTTATAAATTAAGTTTGGAACAGATCATTCAGTGTTACAGTGAGAAGCATCCACTGAAATGTGACCAACTTTTATCCCTGTTCCTATAACATGAAGTTTAGCAGAAAAATTAAATCACCTGGGTTATGCGTGGTGCTTAGTTTTGATCTGTGATTGAACTTCTTAAATTTTCCCACTCTTAATCTTTCTTTAATTCGAGAAATTGTTACAATGACTATGGTCATAAGGTATATAAAATAGGCATAGAAATTAAACATTTACTGATAACAAAACAAAGAATTATATTTAAAAGAAAATTTTAAGATTTTCTGTAACTCCCACATCCAGTTACAGGGCCAACATGGGGTTACAACCTCCAGTTTAAAAAATAAGGATCTATAATAATGTCTAAAGTTTTGAAGTTCCTACCTAATTCATGTAATTGCTTAAAAGATTTGCTAAGTTTGTACTTATATTTTCCATGAGACTTATAGTATCCTCTATTTATGTGAGTTCAAGTATAGATAAATAGGAAACTTAAAAGGACTCTAACAAGTTTATTATTTTAATATATTGACTTTCCATTTCATTGTCAAAGTAGTGTGTTATTTAAATATTAATATCTGTAGTTAGGAAGTTGTATCATTCACTGAATGCTTATTACATGTGTAAGATATTGAGTTGTGTGGCCTTTATCTGAATGGGTCTTTTTTTGACCGTATCCAGTGGCATTCAGGGTTTACTCCTGGCTTTGTGCTCGGGGATCACTCTTGGCAGGCTTGGGAGAACTATATAGGACTCAGGGGATTAAACCCAGTCAGCAGCATGCAAGAGCCTACTTGTGGTACTATGGCTCTGGCTCCAAGTTGTATGTGTGTGTTTTATATTATTACCTCGACCCAATATAATTCTAGAAGCAAAAGGTTATTGTACCTATTTTGCAGAAAACTGAGGTTCAGGGAAGTAAAAAATTTTTTTTCTCCCAAATACCAAATAGTTTGGAAGCTATAAAATGAATTTATTTTTATTATTACCATTTATTCATCAGTGTTAATTCCTTTCTCTTTTTGTTTTCCCCAGGGTTGAGGAGAGTTTTAAGACATTGTTCTGGGCAATATTTGGACTTTCTGAAGTGAAATCAGTGGTCATCAAAAACAATCACAAATTCATTGAAAACATCGGTTATGTTCTGTATGGAGTCTATAATGTTACAATGGTCATCGTTTTGCTAAATATGTTAATTGCAATGATCAACAGCTCATTTCAGGAAATTGAGGTATAATTACCACAGTATCACTGCTGTACATCTTTATGCTCTCTGTCCCTGTTCTTACTTTTGTTTTTTAATATTCACTTGAGGATCTGTGATGTACAGGACTGCTAGTGACAGGGCTTCACGCATGCAGCTTTCAGTTCCAACACCCTCCCACAGTGTCCACTTTCTTCCACTGTTACCTTAGGGTCCCTCCAGTCCACCCTCCATCCCCCCTGCTGTGTGTTTAAATTATCCCAGATATTAGCTCAAGAAAGGTGTTGGAAGTACATATGTCCCCTATGCTTTTTTCTGTCCCTGTTTCATATACTTGCTGGACTAGTAATCTAGAATATTTTATCTCTTTTTCTCAAATTCAACTTCAGTGGGTTAGTGTGACTATAAAAAAAAACGGAGGAAAAAATGTCTGATTTAGCATTCTAGAAAAAGCTCTAGGGATTCTATACCAACATAAGTTTATATTTTATTTAAATATTAATTCTCCAAAAAATTTTTAGAGTGATGTTCAAGACCAATCATTCTTAAGTTTAGAGTAATAGCATAGAATACTTTGTCTGTGTCATGAATTAATAAAATAAGCGATCTGTTGCAGAATAAACAAGAGAATAATTTTTCATACTGTTGCTCAGAATATAGAAAGATACATTCATAACTGTCAGTGTATTTATAAATACATGCAGGCTTTGAGATCTATAGTCCTGAAACCCTGATAAAATTCCAGACAGACTTAGGAAAGAGTGAGTGAGTTGAACACTAACACAGTGAAACTCTTTTGGAGTCTGTTGGGACCAAGAGTGTTTGCAGGCCCCGTTACTTCTAGCCACACAATGTCAGAAGCATCGTAATAATTCTGTTTTCTTGCATTCCCTTACTCAACTGTCATGTGCATTTGTCTAGGATGATGCCGATGTGGAGTGGAAATTTGCCAGGGCTAAACTTTGGTTTTCCTACTTCGAGGAGGGAAGGACCTTGCCTGTCCCCTTTAACTTGGTGCCAAGTCCAAAGTCTCTGTTTTATCTCTTACTGAGACTTAAAAAATGGGTTTTGGAGTTGTTCCAGGGTCATAAAAAAGGTTTCCAGGAGGATGCAGAGATGAACAAGGTAATTTAACTTAACTATTATATATTGTAAATGCTGCAACAGTTAGTACCACTTTCCTACACATTTATTTATTTATTTATTTATTTAAGTCAACCATGATGACCAGTTCATCACTTTCCAAATGCAGGTCAGCATGGCTCGTTGATTTGAGTCTGTTCAGTAGGAACACTCTGGACATCTACTACTCAAAAGAACGACTGTAGGAGTCATGAAATGTAACTGAAATAATGTGTTCCATTATCTGGGGACTTAACGGGAGAGCTATTCGGTGTCCCATTTTCACTACTGTACTGCGAGTCTCCCACTTCATCTTCGATATTTTGAGGTAGAGAATCAGATGTGGATATGACTGGATCTAATAAATCATTAAGTAAATTCAATATTGAGAAGTATTGAAATCTATCACGTAACTGCAACATGGGAGACAGACTTGGCAGTAGATGGTTAAAGAAAGATCTAAGGATAATAATTTGAAACTATAAATAAGAGACAATGCAATCTCAAGACACCATAAAAGCAGTATAGAGCCTAGGAGAGTTGGTGGAGAGTTCAGAAAAGTTTAGAGCATGTGTAGAATGCTGTGTGTAACTCTGTGTGTGTGTGTGTGTGTGTGTGTGTGTGTGTGTGCACGCGCGCATGCGCGCGCGTGAGTGAGTGAGTGAGTGAGTGAGAGAATGAGTATGGAGATTTGCTTTACAGAGGAACTCTGTTAAAGTACATAATTCTACACGAAGGAGAACTCAGAGATTAGATGTTCCCAGGACAGGGGCAACTGTGGTGCTGAGGTCATCCTACAGGAAGTCAGAGGGGCTGTTTCATCTGAAGACCTGGGGTAGAAGCAGGACACAATGAATATCTTTGAATTTTCCACTTTTGTTTAGAAAGTAAAGTCTGCTATTCCTTCAAAAATAGAGAGGCAGTGTACAAAAGTTGAAAGCTCATTCGTCTTAATTGTATGTAAAAACAAAACAAAAAGATCTGTCCAGTGCACACCTGGGCTGTCTGAGAAAATGGCGAACCCTCCCTATTGTGATTTCTGGATAAATGCTGGAGAACCCACACAGGAATTTACAGACCTTTCTACATGGGGTGAACATTAGAGTAAAGTATTATAAAGCAGTTCTAAAATTCTACTATTGAATAACAGAAATGTTCCAATCCCTGCTCCACTTGCCACTAACTACTTGGGGTTATCAAGTGGGTAATCAACTCCTGCGGCTTTGGTTTCCTCAACTGTATTGGATTAATAACAATAAAATATAATAATAACAATAACTATTTATAGTATGACGAGCTACTCAAATTAACATGTTGAAGTGCTCAGAAAAATCAAAAGCCATCTTCAGGTCAGATATTATAAATATTCTATGTAAGAATTTTGTAAAATTATATCATCTACAGATGATACTCTTTCAGATTTATCATTTATGGCACTCTGTGTAGAGCAGCAAAAATATTGATCACTTTCCTTAATGTTATTAAGTGAGTTGCTTACAGGGGGGTAAACAAAACCGCAAAAATGTCTGAAAGAAATGTCTAAGTACTTACAAAATAATACAAACAGAACATGTCTAAACTTGTTTACAGTATTAGGCTAGGTTGCTTTCATAATATGGAATAAAGAGTAAACTTTACCTTGTAATTCCAAATGTACAAGTGTACTCATTTTACTATTTATCTTTAAAAGAGAAATGAAGAAAAGAAATTTGGAATTTTTGGAAGTAACGAAGCCCTTTCAAAATTGTCCCTGGACAAAAAACAGGTAAGATCATATGTGAAACTATGGAAGTTTCACAATACATGTGAAACATATATGAAGTTGTGCACATTATCAGGCTTACTTTTTTTTTTCATAAGAAGGGAAATGACCAGAATCAATTTTCAGAAAGAAAAAGATAATAGCCACTAAATATTTTAACTATTTTAACAACATTCAAAGAATCTGCTTAAGAGAGGTGGAGATAAGCTTATTGTCAATTAATAAGCAAAAGAATTATATGTATATTTAAGACAGATATTAAACATATTTTAGAATACCCATAGGTGATGAAACACAGAAACAGTAATGTAAAGAAAGAAAATTTTAGATAACAGAGGATCTGTTAGGATTTTGGTGAAGCTACAATGAACTAAGCTTAGTTGAGAGGAAAAGCACACACATCTTGAAGAGGCTCCTTAAATGGTTATTATGGTTGTTAAACCAAGATTAAGTATGGAAGGGTCTAAGAGGTAGCACAGCGGGTAATGTGCTTGCCTTGCACGCAGCTAACCCAGGGTTGGGCTTAGGCACCACTTAATGGTGCCCTGGCCCTGCCAGGAGTGATCCCTGAGAGCAGGGCCAGGAGTAAGCCCCGAGCACCAATGGTGTGGCTTAAAACACAAAATCAAAAAACTAAATTAAAAAGGTAAAATATGGGAGCAAGCACTGGGAAACTTCAATATTGAGTGTAACCAACAGAGTTCCCAGGAAGCCTCGTGTCCTGGAGACGCATCCACTCCGGTGATCGGGAAATCTGCTTCTTTCTTACAGCATGCACACAGCAGAGAGGCAGGGCACGTCCAGAGCCAGACCTCAGAAGGCTGCTGGCAGGGACGATTTCCTGTTGCTCCTCAAGGGTTTTTGGTAACAGATGCACAATGGGAGCTTCCACCTCTAACACACTTTTCAGGCTTGAAGAAGGGATAAGGGACATCAAGTGGGACATGACAACTGTATCTTTATCTACCCTTAGGAGCACTTCCGGCGATTTCTGTCATTGTAACTCACTGAACAGAGCTATACTACAGCAAACCCCTCCGCAGCCCCCACCTTGCCAATGAGGAGATTATTTAATTTTGTTGTTGAGTATGTAACTGTCCCCAGTTGTCCTCAATAAAAGAGGTGTACTCCTAATTAATTAAGTCTTAGTTCAGTATTTCTGTAATACGCACTGGGGAAGTTCAGCTTCTTTTCATTTCTTTCCCGTTCGCTATTTAATTAACTTCTCTGAACATCAATTTCCTCATCTGTAAAATAGGGATGATATAATTATATCATCTGACGGAGGGTGTGATGGTGGAATGCTTTATTCATGAAACCCTATCATTAACAGTTTCGTAAAGCCCAGTGCCCAAAATTTAAAAAATCAATAAAAATTCTAAAATAAAATAGTCCAATTATAAAAATTAAAAACACTGTACATCACAGAAGGTTGTTGGAAGTTGTTAAATTGGTGCTTTGAAAATTAAAAGCTATAAAACATATCATAGAAAGATGGCTCCTTTTTGCTAGTTGGTATAAAAATCAAACAAATTAGAAATAAGCAGTATATTGAATTTTATAGTTTCACAGTACCCAAATACTTGTGCTATGTAACAAATATAACATTAAATCTTTAGACAAAAGTTCAATGGAATTAAAATGCATTTTAAAACTTTGTAATAAAAAAGTATACTGTCTTTCAAGATAAATAATTTTATTTTCTGTATAGTTTCTCCCAAAATAATCACTTAATCAAACTTAACTTCCCGTTAGTCATCGATTTGCTCGAGCGGGCGCCAGTAACGTCTCCATTTGTCCCTGTCGCGTGCTAGTGTAGCCCAATGGCATCTGTTCGCTCCGGGAACATGAAGGGCCTCAAACCGATCGTTCATGATCTTCAGGAAGAAGTCTGACCATCTGGTAGGTGGGCGGCCACGCGGTCTCTTGACATCCCGTGGAATCCAATCAGTAACAGCTCTAGTCCAACGGTCGTCTTTAAATCTCATTACGTGACCAGCCCATTTGATTTTCGACACCTTGGCAAATGAGACAGCGTCCCTGATCCTTGATCGTCGACGGATGTCAGAACTCCGGATTCTTTCTCTCATTTGAGTGAAACGTGATATTCCAAGCATAGCTCTTTCTATTCTTCTTTGGGAGACCTGAATGGCGTTCTCATCTTGTTTGCGTAGGGCCCAGGTCTCTGAGGCATATGTTAATGCAGGAAGAACAGTGGAATCAAAGAGATGTGCCCGGAGCCGGAGGTTCTTCGTCCTCTTAGCTATTTCTTCGACGTTCTTGAAGGCGTTCCAAGCCGCTCTCTTCCTCCTGCGCAGCTCGGGTGCCAGGTCATTTGTCATGTTGACCTCTCGACCTAGGTACACATAGCTGTTGCATTCGGAGATGGTCGTTCCATTGAGAGCAAATGGGGCGTCAGGAACAAGGCTGTTTCTCATAAACATTGTCTTCGTAAGATTCAGCTGTAGTCCTACCTTTCCACACTCACGGTCAAAGTCGGCCAGCATTTGTGCCGCTTGGCTGATGTTTGGTGTTATTAAAACAATATCATCAGCAAAGCGGAGGTGGTGTAATTGCCGACCATCTATCTTCACTCCCATTCCTTCCCATTCCAGTCGTCGCATGATGTTCTCGAGGGTGGCACTGAAGAGTTTCGGTGAAATGGTATCACCCTGCCGCACCCCTCTCTTGACATCAATGATCACTTCTTTGTAGAATGGTGAGATCCTGGTAGTGAATCCGCAATACAGCTCACGGAGGATCCTGATGTATTGGGCTTGAATGCCCTGATTGGCTAGGGCTTCAATGACCGCTTCCGTCTCAACAGAATCAAAGGCCTTCTTTAAATCAATGAACGTTAAGCAGAGCGGCATCTTGAACTCCCGAGAAACCTCAATGAGTTTGGTTATTGTGTGGATATGGTCGATGGTGCTGAATCCTTTGCGGAACCCTGCTTGCTCGCATGGTTGTCCTTCATCTAATGTTCTGCCAATCCTATTCAGGATGACTCGAGTGAACAACTTGTAGATGACAGACAATAGGCAGATCGGGCGATAGTTGCCAATGTCATGGATGTCTCCCTTCTTGAACAGTAGTACGGTCCTGCTGGTTTTCCATTGGGACGGAACCTTGCATTCAGACAGGTAGCGAGTGAAGAGCCGAGCCAGTGTATTGATGAGTACTGACGGCAGGTTCTTCAGGTGTTCAGGTCTGACCTTGTCTGGGCCGGGTGCTGTTTGTTTCTTTACCGACGAAATGGCGTGTTGGATTTCGGAGGGGAGAACGTTGGGAACAACATACCCATCCTGTGGAATTTGGTATGTTGGCAAGTGGACATGGCTATCGAAGAGATTTGAGTAGAAGTCATGGATAATCTTCTCCATTGCCGTTCTGGAGGATGTGATGGATCCATCAGGACGTCGGAGGGCAGTCATCTTGGTCTTATAGTTGGCAAAGGACAGGCGGGCCTTACGAATACTTTTCCCGGCTTCTGCCGCATCTACCAGTACTTCTGCTCTTCTCTCTTTGAGGTCTTCCTTGATCGCATCTCTGCACTGCTTTGCAAGCTCGGACGTTAGCTTGCGGTTGCCTGAGGCATGCGCCAAACCACGCTGGCGAATTAGCTCAAGAGTTTTCGAAGATAGGCGACTTTTTGTGGCTATCTCTCTCTTGGCGTTCCTCGCACATTCATGGAGGTGCTGAAGCAGTCGATCGTATTCCTCATCAATGTTGTCAACAATGGCATCTTCCCATGTTGCCGCAATAGTACCAAAGAGTTCCCAGTTGGTGGTCATTCTGGGAGTTCTCTTTTTGAACTTTGCAGCCCTTTCTCCCCGCTCTGTGAAGTAGAATTTTGCACGAAGGAGACGGTGGTCCGATCCCGTTCGAAATTTTGGGACAACAGCGACATCAGTCAGGCAAAACCGTCGATTGAATATGATGTGGTCTATTTCGTTGTGGAATCGTCCACCGGGAGACTCCCATGTCCATCGTTTAGATTCTGCCTTCTGGAACTGTGAGTTACCATGGATGGTCTTGGTCGACATGATGAACTCTGACAGTCTCTCACCCTGTTCGTTCCATTCTAGGCCATGGGTCCCGATGTGAAGTTCTTCAGCTGATCTTCTCGGTCCTATCTTGGCATTAAAATCACTCACAATGATCTTGTAGAACGTGTGGTCTTCTTTATAGAACTTTTCTAGCTCCATGTAGAACTTCTCGATTTCTCTTTCATCATAATGAGATGTTGGTGCGTAGACAACGAAGATAGAAACTGCAGGCAGTGAGCCACATCTATTCAAATGTAAACATCTGATTTGGGTTGTTAGGCATTCGAATGAATCAATGCTCTTGGCCAAGTTTGTGTTGACAAGGACACTGACGCCTCCAACACCTCTTTTATCGCATGTTCCGAGGAACAATTCTTCTCCAGTGTCGAAAACGGCATGGTGAGATTCGTGCCTTCTTGTCTCGGTCAGACCAATGATGTCATACTTGATCATTTGCACTTGTACCATCAGGTCCTCGATGGATGCATCTGATGCTAGCGTACGTGCATTGAAAGTACAGACGATCATTTTTGTCTTCCTTCGTTGTGGCAGCCTAGGTCGGCCTTGAGATTTTATTGGCCTCTCCTTTCTCATCCTTCTCAGTGCTGCCATGTCGGTGAAGCCTTCAGGGTCAGGTGAATGAGACCAGTTGTAGTTACTGGTTTTGGCATATCGAATACACAGCGGATAGCTTGCCAGGCTCTTCCGTGCGGGCGGAATACTCTCGGTAGCTTGCCAGTCTTTCCGAGAGGGATAGAGGCTTTTGGGGTGACCTCTAATCACCCTTGTAGGTGTTACCATATTTGAACCCTATCAAATATGGTACGACAATTCCAGAAGATGGGTATTTAGTGTCTTATGATGTGTCCGGAAAGCATCCTGGAGTGTGGCGACGGCTGGGTAGTGGAAGTCGTGTGGAGAGTGGAAGTCTGCCAGTGGGGTATTTATCTGGGTAGGGTGGGTCTCCTGTGCACAATTCGATCCCTGGGTGGTTGATGGAAGCAGACAGGGCAGGGTAGGGTGGGGCTCCTGATTAGAATCCCTTTGTCACCTGTGGTGGTGGGAGCAAGCAGAGAAGCTCTGTCCCTGGGTCCGCCGAGCCTGGAGTCCAAGGTCTCAGAGAGTTCCGCTTATCTTGTTCTGTGGGTCTTCAGTTGTGCGTGGGTCTCGGCCGGAGCTGCCGCGCGGGTCCGGAAAGCGTCCTGGAGTGTGGCGACGGCTGGGTAGTGGAAGTCGTCTCCCAAAATATAAACAATTAAATATTGGATCTAAATTATCCAAAATTCATGGAGCTGGGCACACTGGCACTATTTCAGGGCCTAGTCCTGGCTATGGGCACAGGACTGACTTTGACAAGGCTTAATGTCTATTTTCCTCCATCCAAAACAATTGGGGGATATTTTGGGTCACACCCAACAATACTCTCAGGCTTTACTCCTTCCTGCTTCTGAGCTCAGGGATCACCCTCGCTGGACTGCACCCAAATCGGCCAATGCAAGACAAGAGTCCTGCCTACTGTAATTTAGTGCCAGTCCTGCTTCATTCAAATTTTTAACAAAAACTTATCAAGTACCTATTATGTATTAGAAACTGATTTGGAAGCTTTCTAAAAGAACATTCTATTTGCACTCAAACTCATATTCAGATTTAAAATAGAACTAGTATCATAAAAATTATTCAAAAGAGTTCACAATTGCTTCATCATATGCCTTTAAATTGGTCGTTCCCAAGTAAGGGTGACTTGTCACCCCCACCACAAGCATCCTCGGGTTCATTTGTGGTACCTATTTTTGTATTGTCACAACTAGAAAGGAACAGCTATCGCCATTTAGTACACAGAGGCCAGGACAGTTGCTGAACATTCTACAGTACAAAGGAAGCTGCCCAGAAGAAAGACTCATTCCTGCCCAAATTGCCAAAAAGTCACATTTTAGAAAACCCTGAGTGCAGGTAAAGCAGAATAAAGAGAATTGTGCGGAAATTGTTTGAGTACACGAAAGTGGCCGCTGTCCTCTGGAAAACCCACAAGTACCCATGTCCTCAAACAGAAAGAATCTCATTTTCTGGCTTTCCTGGCACTGACAACTCTTTTGTGCCACCCATATCATTTGTAAGATGTCGGCCTTATGCCTCCTAGTCACTCCCTTATGTTGTGGGAGAATTCTCAGCACATAACTGAGCTATACCACTTGGTCCCTATACCTGGGCAGAACAGGTACTGCGTGTCTAAGAAGTCAAAAGGATAATAAGTACTCTTCCTTCGTCTTATCATCTAACAGTGCTCAGACCTTATGGTGTCTGGGAACCCCAGGACATCCCAGCAATGCTGGGAGCCTTGAGAAACGCACCTGCTGATGCTTTAGGGAGCCATGTGATGTCAGGAATTAAACTCAGGCAGGGTACGTGGTAGACATGAGTCCTAGCCCTGGGGTGCCCCCAGGCCGCGTGTGTAATATGGGTTTTTCTTTTGGTTCTGATAAGACTGGTCACATTTCCCTTATTATTGTACCTCAGCTAGATCATAACTGAGTTATGTCTGTTCTTTCCTGGATACCCAGAACTTAGCACAGCACCTTATATAGAAAGGACACTCAGTATAAACCAGTTGACTTGATGAGTATGGACTTGGCTGTTTTAAATCAGCATGTGGCCATTTAAAGCATCAAAACCTTGGATTTAAATCAAGGATTTTAACTGAGTGTCACCGAACTGATTTAGCACGTTAGGTGTCACTGGGAAAAATAAATCATGTCCATCTTTGAAGGCAGGCTTCAAGTTTTCATCCCCCAAAAAATATTTCTACACCCAACACATATACATCTAGGGCTGCTCTGTCTTTCTCTTATTCTCCTACATTTGTTTATAAAACCATCTTTGGCTTTAGGAAACTCTTTAAACAGTTTTTAGTCATCCTCATAGCTTATTAAAGTGTGTTAACACTCTTTTTTTTCCCAGATTGCTTTTTTTTCCTTTTGGGGTCACACCCGGCAATGCTCAGGGGCTACTCCTGGCTCTGCACTCAGGAATTACTCCTGGCGGTGCTCAGGGGACCTTATGGAATGACGGGGATTGAATCTGGGTCAGCTGCGTGCAAGGCAAATGCCCTTCCCGTTATGCTATCACGCAGGCCCCTCAAATTGTTTTAATTCTTTGTTATTGACCTGTTAAAACAAATACATTCTTCTAAACTGTTTGCCCAAATGTGGTGTTTTGCAGATCCTAAAGTCCAAGTGGATTAATTTGTGCACTTTTAATACTTACATTCTGCCCCATAGCAAAGCTTTACCTTGGTGCTTTTTGGGGAAAGTCCATGAGACTGTCACGCTGCAGTTCATCTTCTTGCAATCATCGTGCTGGCATGCTGATCCCACAGCAATAGAACTTTGTGATCACCACCATTATTTCCCCAACTGGATTTTCTCTTTCTCTATATCACAAGATGAAATGTGTGAAGGATCAAGCATGACAACTCTCGTCATGTGGCTGACCTACAGCCACAAGATCCTAAAGATTCCTCAGACAACTACTAGGCATTGATAGACTAAATTGTGACCTGTCCTGGAAGATAACATATTAAACAAAATAAGTTACAATGTCATTAAATATGTAGATTATATATAGAGAGAGGTTTATAAATGTGGCTGATATATATTACTTAAATCAGTTCCTAATTATTTTCAACTTACAGCTTGGGCACAGTAAACAGTCAAGTATAAGGAGTTCAGAAGATTTCCAGTTAAATAGTTTCAATAATCCTCCAAGACAATATCAGGTAAGCATTAGTTTTTAAAGAAAAAAAGCTAGTTATCTATAATATGTAGAATCTCAAACTGTGCTGTTCTTTAAATCATACTGAACTACATTTTTCTTATTTCAAGAAGTATTTGTGTAGTAACTGTCATGTATCATATATTTACTAAGTACTGGAGATAATGAAACAGATAAAATCTTGACATCATGGGTCTTAGGGTCTCCATTTTTTAAAAGGTAATCTTTACAAAGAAACAGAGGAAGTAGAATTTATCTCAAGTCCCAACACTGAAACACTGCTCTCTTGTTGTTCGATTTCCTCGAGCGGGCCCAGTAACGTCTCCATTTTTTGAGACTTGTTGTTACTGTGTTTTGGCATATTGAATACGTCACGGGTAGCTTGCCAGGCTTTGCTGTGCGGGCGAGATACTCTCGGTAGCTTGCCAGGCTCTCGAAGAGGGGCAGAGGAATCAAACCTGGCTTGGCAAACGTCCTACCACTGTGTTATCACTCCAGCCCAAGTCCCAACACTACACTTAAAAATTAAAAAAACTTTTGGTGAATATCCTCTGGATGATTTTAAGTGTATATAATTTTACATATATTTAATACTATTATGCACGGCAAAGCCTAGCAAGCTACCCATGGCATAGTCAATATGCCAAAAGCAGTAACAATAACAGGTCTCATTCCCCTGACCTGGAAAGAGCCTTCAATATGGCAGCATTTGGAAAGACCAATAAGAAGAGGCTGCTAAAATCTCAGGGCTGGGAAGAATGGAGACGTTATTGGTGCCTGCTTGAGTATATTGATGAACAACAGGATGACAGTGATACAGTGGCAGTAAATACCGTTATGAGTGAGTTTAATATATTTATAATAGAAGAGGGGCTAGCGAAGTAGCCCCATGGGCTGAACCCACGCTTAGCATGAAGGAGGCCTGGATGGGTTAAGTCCCCAGAAGTACATGATCCCTTAACACAGTGCAAAGAAAGCCCCCAAGCACCACTGGGCACAGCCTCACCCCAAAACCCGTAATAACAAAGAGTAATGGATTTTTAACCTACAAAACATATTTATATTAATTTTTGGTGAGTAGCTTAACTTTGTACAAATAATGATATGAAGTTTCCTGCTGATGTATACTCATGGGTTTACTTTTGCTGCTATTTATTAGTGCATTATTAAAACACTTGTCTAGACATCCGATTATATACATAGAATAAGATCTTGAAAGTAAAATTGTGCTGTCAACCCTTAAATTGGGGGCTTAGATGTAGAATTTGGTTTTGCTATATCCCCCCCCTCCCACCAAGATTCCGTGCAAATTCTGAGTCTGTTTTTCATTTAAAAAATATGTATACTTATATATACAGCAATATATATGAATATATTTATGATATATATTTATGTATATATCAGTGCTATGGGCTGGAGTGATAGCACAGCAGGTAGGGCATTTGCCTTGCATGCAGCTGACCTGGGTTTGATTCCTCTGTCCCTCTCGGAGAGCCCAGCAAGCTACCCAGAGTATCCCGCCCACACGGCAGAGCCTGGCAAGCTCCCCATGGCATATTCGATATGCCAAAAATAGTAACAATAAGTCTCACAATGGAGACGCTACTGGTGCCCGCTCGAGCAAATCAATGAACAACAAGAGGACAGTGCTACAGTGCTATATATCAGTGAAACTATTTCTTGCCAACTAGTACAAAATCACAATTGATTACATTTCTTGATAAGAGATAGTAAAAGATAAAAAAAGTACACACTTTCCAGTCCCACATGCAGTAGTCACATCCTTTATCTGTCTAACTTAGAGGCTGGGTGCTGCTTTAGTATTTCTTAAATAAAAGACAAGCCACAAACATAAAGGATTGGATCTTTGCTGTAAACCTATTCTTTTCTCCAGAATTAACTTTTGAGTCATTAGCTTAGGTGCCGGGAAAATTGTTCAGAAAATCTGGAGAGAGTATAAAATATTCCCTGTCAGCTAAATCATAATAACCTTTAACAGCCATCACTTCTAAAGGGAGATAGACTCAAAAACCTATTTCAAATGAGACGTCTGTCATGAACAAAAAAATTGAAATAATTTTATCCATTCTCTCCTTAGAAAATAATGAAGAGGCTCATTAAAAGATATGTACTAAAAGCCCAGATAGATAAGGAGAGTGATGAAGTAAATGAAGGTGAGTTTAAAACCAAGGACACCTCATCCCCTTAATGTACCAGATCCGAGACACGGGACTTGCAAGTAGGACTGAGAGAGAGCCGGAGAGGGGCATGGGAAGGATGAGTATCAAAAGGAGAAAAAGACAGGCTCTCACTAACTTAGCAGTGCCATAAAATACTGACTTGGGAAATGGGCTGTGGAGAGATGCCGTTTGCTAAATGAGAAACTATTGTTTGCAAAGGGAGACTGAATGGAAAAGCAAATGGGGAAGAGAAGAAAGAGGCCAAATCCCTACAATGTCTGCCACCAAGTTAATTAAGAAAACAGAAATTTCTCCTTTGGGAAGTTATTTCTTTTGATAGAATTTAAAATATAGATGAATATGGAGCTAGGTGTGACTGATCTCTCCCTGTCTTTCTGTATCATGCATTTATATTTGACTTCTTACTGTTCTTGTTTTTTCAAAGGGGAACTGAAGGAGATCAAACAGGACATCTCCAGTCTCCGCTATGAACTCCTTGAAGAAAAGACTCAGAATTCAGAAGATTTAGCAGATCTTATCAGAAAACTTGGGGAGAAACTCTCAGGGGAAGCAAAACAGGAGGAAAGCAAGAGATAATGTAAAGACTTCCCTAAAATTTCACCTATCTTCGCCAGAAACCATATATTTGAGTTTGTTTTAAAAGTGTCAGTGTGACTGCATTTTAGGCCAGAAAAGGCAACTTGGGTACCCAGAGCCCTACTGTTTAAATTGTGATTAAATTCTATTGCTCAAGTTTACCAATTATGATGAAAATTAGGGGCATGGTTTGGTGCTTGTTTCAGCCAGCGGAACTCTTGTGACTGCCAGGACTGGGCATTCCCCTGGAGGGGCAGAGTGCGGTAGTCCAGCCCCCCTCTCCTCATCCTCACCCCCACCAGGGGAAGACTAGCCCCTACCAGTGTGGTACTCCAGCCCCGCCTCCCTCCCCGCCCCTGCCCTCCCCACTTCTACTTCCTTATGGTCATTTCTTTCTTTAAAAAAATTTTTTTTTTCTCCTGGGAATATATCCCAGAGAGGCAAAAATGTATAGTCGAAGTGACATCTGCACTTGTTTTTTCATTGCAGCACTCTTTACAATAGCCAGAATCTGGAAAAAACCTGAGTGCCTGAGAACAGATGACTGGTTAAAGAAACTTTGGTACATTTACACAATGGAGTACTATGTAGCTGTTAGAAAAGATGAAGTCATGAAATTTACATACAAGTGGTACTACATGGAAAGTATCTTGTTAAGCGAAATGAGTCAGAAAGAGCAGAATAGACACAGAAAGATTGCATTCATCTGGGGAACATAAAGTAACAAAATAGGAGACTAACACCCAAGAGTGGCCGAGATTAGTACCAGGAATTTTGCTCCATGACTTGGAGGCCAGCCACACATGCTCGGGGAAAAGGCAGCTCAGATAGAGAAGGGAAGCACCGAATAAAGGGTGTTGGGAGGATCCTCCCAGGATGGGAGAAGCATGCTGAAAGTAGACTATAGACCAAACATGATTGCCACTCAATGCCTCTCTTGCAAACCACAGCACCTAAAAGGAGAGAGAAAACAAAAGGGAATGCCCTGCCACAGAGGCAGGGTGGGATGGGGGAGGGTGGGGGCTGGGAGGGATACTTGGACCCGTGGTGGTTGAAAATGGGCACTGGTGGAGGGATGGGTACTTGATCATTGTATAACTGAAACCCAAACACAAAAATTTGTAAGTCTATAACTGTACCTCCTGGTGTTTCACTAAATAAAAATTTAAATTAAGGTACCATGATTTATCAAGTTATTTATAGTTGAGTATCAGGAATACAATCCCACCACTAGTGTCCATTTTACTCCACCAATATCCACAGGTTTCCCCCATCCCCGCCTATCTCCTTGGCAGGCATACTTTTAAGTTTGGTTTTTGTGGTTTGGGTCTCATTCTTACAGTGTAGTTAAAATCAATTCACACACCACACATTGAAGCCCCAATGTGCCCCTGTCCTGCCCCTGTTAGTTCCTTTGTCCTCTTCTTATTTCCCTCTCCATTTCCTTCTTATCCCATGTTCATTTCAAACCCCTTCTGTGGGGTTCCCATCAGGTAGTGACTTCCAGTGCTGAAATCGAGAGGGGAAAATACTCGATGGTGGTGCTAGAGAGTTCTGCGAGTAAGGTGCGTGACTTGCATATGGCTGGTGTGGATTTGAGCCTCAGCACTCCATATGGTCCGCCAAATTCTCCCCCCGCCAAAACAGAGATCTCTGAGCACAGAGCACTGCCCGGAGTGGTCCAAAGACCAAAATCACAAACCAAAATCTATATGGCCATTTAGAAAATGCTATTTAGTCATATACCTAACTTAGCTCCCTCAGAATGTGATTAATAATGCAAAGATAGTCATTATTTCCTAAGATTTTGGATTCATCTCTTTGAAGATACTACACTGACAGTGAAACTGTCTGTCCTCCACATGAGTCATGGAACAAACTAAGCTGTTTGTCTGTATATCTGCATGTACACAACTGCACATGCAATGCTTCTTTGCCTTATTTTCTTTTCCAGCCAACATTGATACGAAAATCTCTTTATGCTATTTTTTACCATGACTGAAACATTACTGCTCCAGTAAGAGTACTTTATTGCAACATTCAAAGTCAATAACAATTCTGGTCATTTGATCCAATTATAGCACAATTCTGTGCCACTTCCAAGGTCTTTTTCAGGTGAATTCCCACATTTGGCATCAATTGAAAAGGGGAAAGAGTGTTGAAGGAACTTGAAGATATGAATCTGTTATTCTTAGTATGTTCTGTCCTCCTTTCAAAATATGTAAAACACAAATTTGCATTCATGAGCGTTCCCCAAGAAGTTATTACTCACTGGTGTAAGGCAATAGCTAAAATAACTATAGGAGAAGGAGAAGGTTTGAGTCGATCAATTATCCAAAGCCTGTTAACATTTGATGATTTAAATTCAATAAAGGGGCTTTCAAATGCATCTTTCTAACTTCATTTAAAGATGCAATGGTCCCAGAAAATCTGTTTGTGTTCCTATTTTGACTTATAGAAAACAAAGAACCTTTATGTAACCGCATCAGAATTTACAGCAAACATTTCATAGCTTGTACTTGTGGATATTATTTGTTAAGTCCTCTGGGGCTGGAAAGATGAATAGCAGGTAAAGACTCGCACACAGCTGACCTGGGTTTGATCCCCGGCATTCCACATGGTCCCCTAAGCCAGCCAAGAGTGATTCCTGAGTACAGAGCCAGGAATAGCCCCTAAGAATCACTGGGTGTGACTCCAAAACAAACAGAAAGACCTCTTGGTCATTTTAGTGATACAGACAAGTTTTATTTTCAAATCTTTCCTGGCAATATCAAAAGTTATAAAAATCTACCTCATACCAAATCACTATCAGCAAATTAAAACTATTCTAACCCCCACAAAGCTTATACATTGTGCCATGCAAAAGACTAGCCTCCATGCCAAAGTATGCTCTGTGATGGATCAGAGGTAAACTACAGTGTCTCTGGAAATAATATTCCGATTTCTCAGTGTCTAAAACTGGATTAGTTAGAAGAGACACGAGTTTGGGAAGACACACCAGAGATGATGGATTCCCGTGTCAAAGGCATCGACCAACGAGTGCAACACATTGTCATCTGAAATCACTGTCCTAAAGTCAGAGTTTCCTCAAACTAGATAAATTGGTACCTCTCCTGATTTCCTTTAAGTTTAAAGATGAAAAGAGAAACTATTTTTTAAGGAAGGAAGGGTTTAAAAAATTCCAAGAAGAGCTCAATTGAGGACATTCTACAAAGGAAAATGATAAACTCTTTCCCATCCTCACTGTCCTCCCGTTGTTCATCGATTTGCTCGAGTGGGCCCAGTAATGTCTCCATTGGAGACTTTCCCATTCTATTCATGTTAAAATCAGCTTCACCTTTGAAAATAAAGTGATTAATAAGTTAACATTTATTTTTCTAAACTGCTCTCTCTGTGATGTTTTTCCCACCCACTCTGGAGCTTTCTTGGGATTTGGACACCACTAAGAGATTAGAACCAAGATATTCAATACCCCGCAGCCACATCCTGCCTATTTCTTATGGTGGAACCTCCACCACCAAACAAATGAAAGAAACTGTTTACCAATAACTTGTCCTCTTCTCTCTTGTACTCACTACTTTGAGAAATAACATAAATTCAGCATAATTTTATTAGACATATGAAATCAATAGCCAAAAAAATCTACTCCCTACTTAAAACTCTGAAAGGGATTAAAAAGAATAAGAAATGATCTTCTAGCCTCAACAAACTTGCAACCGAGAAGACAAATGGTACTAAATACAATTTGAAAACACTTCCTGAGTACCTACCACATGTCAAGTAGTGGGATAAATGCTCCCCATGTATTATCTAATTAGATGTAACTCAATATTCACAACTGTCTCAGATAAATACTATTATTATCTTTATGGTAAATGAGAATACCGTAAATGAGAGGCTTTTAGAGACTGAGTAACTTGCATGTAAAGGGCCAGAGCAGAAACAAATTTGAGCCAACCTCATGGCAGAAGCTTTACTGTGCTCCTGGTAAGCTGTTTATTTAAGTCTGCTCCTTTCTTTAAAAGCTTGCATTTCAATTTTTGAAGAGGAAATATGGGTGATTTGTGAGAACCCAAAGTTTCATTGTTGGTTTACACTCCAAAGAACAGAGTACAGCATTAATCAAGGGAAGCTGAGATAAAGAGAGTGTTTAGATTCAGAAGAGAAGCATATGTACAAAAGAGTTAAAAGAGACATATACTAAAGGGTGGGGATAATGTGAATGAGATCAAGATTTGGTATCGCTAGACAAAATCATTATTAACATTTGAAATAAATACTTCCAGTCATATGGAAAAAATAAAGAGCTGGGATTGAGGAAGGTGCTCAGTGCAACGGGTAGCCTCTGTGAGAACAGATCGGCTAGAAGCAAACACAAGGGCTTCAGTCAGGTTCCATCCTTCCTAAACTAGCCCAACATCAGAGAATCTTATTGTCATTTGAATGAGAAAAGAAATAAAGTAAATAAGAAAGTAAACTTACAATTATAATGAGCTATATGTCGGTATTTCAAAATGGGCCGAGTGACCAGATGTCCATCCCTAGCTTCTTAAATTGTGGGTCATGAACATTCTTTAAATAAGTATGGGGGTCGGGTCATGAAAATTGTTGATAAGTGAATTTATGATTTATTATCATAAATGTCTGCTTTTATACATATTTTATAAACCTAGAGTTCCATAAAAATTTTTCTGGTGAAAAGGAGTTGCCAGTGGGAAAAATATTCCTAAGCACTGGTCTCATGCCCAGTAGAAAATTCTCAGGACCAAGTCCAAGCTTCAGGCTAAGGAAGGGATGTTTCTTTTCTTTTCTTTTTTTTTTAAAATTTTTTATTAGTGAAACTCCATGTGGTAGAGTTGTTGACCTTACAAATTTTAGTGCTTGGGTTTCAGTTATACAATGATTGAGTACCCATCCCTCCACCAGTGCCCATTCCCCAACTCCAATGCTCCCAGCACCCCTCCCACCCCCCCACCCCCCATTTCTCCCCCCACCCTCCCGTGGCAGGGCATTCCCTTTTGGTCTCTCTCCTTTTGCGTGCTGCGGGTTGCAAAAGAGGCATTGAGTGGTTATCATGTTCGGTCTATAGTCTAT